TATATATATATATATATCAATTCGCTATCTTGCATTAACTAATTTAATTAATTATTTATTACTGCATAGTATGGATTTTCTAAAAATTAATATAACTTTAATAGGCAATCTAGATTATTGCCGAATCCAATCTCCAGAACAAAAGATTACAACAGTACCTCGACAACATTTATGACAACCTATATCAAGGCAATGCTGAAGCCTGAAAAATCAATAGATGATCAAGAACAGTTTTGTATACCTTTATCCCACGATGCTACTTTGATGGATAAATATTATGCTAATCAAAATATCGCATATGGATTCTTTTACAATGTTCTTGATCTCTCAACTTTGAAACAATTGGTCGAATTTATTACGGATTGCTTCTACAAAAAAACATCATTTTCCGAAAAGATTTTACGAATGCATTACGACGAACAAAAATCTCCTATTGATTCAAAGACAGCTGTTGTCAAACGTTTGATACCGGAAGCCAAATGGGAACAATCAGAGTATAAAATCGAAGTTGAAGATCGCGATTTACAATCGAGAATTCAAACACAATTGATAAATGATTATCCTAGACCTGGAGAAAGCAACTGGCAATGGCTAGATTTTTTTCAATCTCCAGCTTTACTCGAAGTTTTGGCTACATTTTGGGAAAGCATTGAAGAAGCTTATATTGAAAATTTAAAAGAAATTCTTTCTTTAAAAAGAATGCATATGTCAGCCATTGTACCATACAAGAATCTCATTCTTAAGAACTTGATGAAATTTATCGATCGACCTGATAAGCGGCAAATCTTATTGCAAGATTTTCATCGTGCTTTTAATGAAATTGATGAAGATCTCAGAGATGATTTGGATATGAAATGCGAATTGCACTGCCGGGTAAACATAGACGTTTATAATCAATAAAAGAAAAATATTTATTAAAAAATAATAATTTTTGAATTTTAATAAAACACTTTTGTCATTATTATTTTCTCATTATTATTAAAATCGCACAAAATGCAATTAACTATTAAATAAAATATTGTGGTAATATAGAAAAAAATCTAAGAAAAAAGAAATATTAGCACTTGCTTATATTATCTTAATTTTATTTATTTCGGGACAAGACTTAATGTAAAAAGATTTTTTTATTTTGATAAAATACACTGAAAGAACTGATAGAATACTGAAAGAAGTATATTAATTGCTGAAAATCTCAAAATTTCGCTAGGTCGATGATTTTCGAACGAAATTGTGGGAACTATGTGACACGCGAAGACACGAAGCCGAGGAAGAAAGAAAACGTACATTGCGTAATCAGTGGATTCTGGTAGAAACCATGGTCCTCATCAACGTGTACATCGGAATTTTACAAACAGAAATCGACAGATTCATCGACACTATGCAGCTTCTTCAGGATTATTACACTTCCATGTTACAAAAACCGCTGCAAAAATCGCAATTCTCCAAGATTGTTCTTGATAATATCAAGCTAGAGGACATTTTTCAAGAAAATTCATTAATCAAAGATAAAGAAGGAACAGTGTCAGAAACGAAGATCGAATCAGCCAAAATTTCAACTCGAACTGTAGATATAAGTCAGTTCAAAATCGAGATCGAAATTCTGCTGATCGACGTATCAAAAAGCTTCGATCCTGATCAGAGCACAGTTTACAACATTATCAAGGATAATATTCGACAAGTGCAGAGTATTGTCGATTCCATCTCATCCATGGTGTTGGAGATGTTAAATAGGGAGGAGAAAATCGCCATTCCAAAGACTGAGAAAGGAAGTGCCTCACCTGCGTCCGTTAAATTAACTAAAAAAAATCGCGATCTCATAGAGGAATGGCGGTATGCCGTTCTATTCGAGATCGAGCGAATTCGTCAGAGATTGAATATACTGAATGCAGCTGCTCGATCAGACGTAACCTTTCTTCTAGATACCATGAGGCAGACCTTTCATTGCATTCATGATTATATCATCGAAAGGTTGATATCAGTCATAAAATCACTTATTTTATTAATGTTTATTAATTGTCTTATTCAACAAGTTAATGTAACTGCAAAACAAACCTAATAATTTCCTTTCAATGGAATTATTTGATAAAAATATGAATTCTTTCATTAGAATCAGTTATTTATTTATATACATGTGAAATTTGAAAATTTTGCATTAACATTTTATTTCCTTTGCAGATTATAATTTAATTATTTTCTAATATTTTAAATGGTGAACAATTAATATATTTTTTTGTTAACACTTAATATATAATAACACTTTTTGTGGTTGAAAACTGACAATTCTATCTAGATTTTAAAATAATCACTTAACATTTATATTATTTTTATTCTATTATCAAATTAAGAATTTTCAATTATTATTTATATATTATTAATATTATTTATAAACTTGATATTAAATAACAATTGTTTTTAGAAGTAATATATAATATAATATGTATATCTCAAGATACAAATGCGAAATTGAGAGCATCAACGAAATGGCGAACGTTTTTTGCTTCGCCATCGAGGAAGAAAAACCGATTCAGCAGGAACTGTTATTAGACGGCGATCAATTCATTATAAGACCAAATGTTTTAATGTTTCCCGAGGATCAGGAACAATTCACTATCCCAATTAGAGAAGCGCCTTTGCCTTTGCGATTTCGAATGGTTCAACTCGGCCGATTGATAGACATTTTCCAACGAATCGCCCCGCGCGGAATCGTTAGCGAACGCGTCCTGGTTTACGTCCTCCAGGACCTGGTATCCTGTGGAGAGGAGGACTGTTACCCGCCTTTTGTGCCGTGCGCCTGGCGACAATTGCGACCTCCGGATATCGAGATATTGGTCGAGCAACTTTTTGGCGCCGCCGAATATATCGAATGGCGAGAGTTCATTCTGTACGCGATGGATCTGCCTGTGCCATCGCATCAGGATATTCTAAAGGCGCGCGCAGCCTTCAAGATGCAAGATCCTGAGTCAAGGGAGGTAGTCACCTGCGAGCAATTTCACTCGGCACCCTTATGGTTCCTCGAAATTTCCACTTTTCACGAGAATCTCTTGGACGAGGAGCTCGATTACAACAATTCCGATACGGTAAAGGATGTAATGTTACGCGAGAAAGCGCGATTAGGCGAGCGAGTTTCGGGTTTGAAGAGCGACCTCATAGAAACGTGGGAGGATAATTCTGAGTACGTATTAAAAATAAATTGAAAAACTTGTCGAACGGAGAATTAAAAAAGAGATTAATCCGGCTTTTGAACAAACTCATTAAAACATTATTTAAATTGAATTGAATTTAAATTGAAACCGATTTTTACATTTCGTTGAAACGGTTTTTCATTCAATAAATCGTTTATTTTCTGATATGTATTTCTGATTAATTTTTTAAATGTATCTTTACTTTTTTCGAATTTCAATTTTTAAAAAATGTTGTAAATAAACATAAATGGTTTTTGATAGTACAATATTGAGGCTGATGCTGGCGAAGGAACTTCTTTGCCGAATGTACCTAGTAAATCGAGATTCTGTTCATTATACGGCTATGCTATTAGCCTTTTGCAAGGCTGAAAATCCTAGTGAAGGTCTTGGAAAGGCGTTCACTCTTGCTATGGGTGCTAAAGTTTGTACCGACGTAATAGAAGGTGAGAAATACGTCAAAGAGTTTGTCGAAGAGAAGCGTCGTGCTAAGGAGTTGAAATTGAACCAGGATTATGTTCGAGAGGAAGCTAATGAGGTAACTCAAAATTTATGTTAATATTAATTTATTCAATTACTGTCTTTTGAAGTCGACTTGTTGCACTCACGATGAAATAAACGAAGGATAAAATAAAAGAGAAACGATAAGAAATAATCAATGTAACGTAGATAAGATAAGTAAAAGTAACAGAGAAACAAAGAAAAGCATTATTTTGAAAATGTAGAAAATATAAATTCTTTTGTTAAAATAGCAGAAACAGACTGTTAAAAATATTACGCTCGCTTTCGAATTAAAAGTGAAATATTTTTATTATTTATATAATATCGCAATTTTATAAAGAGACATTTATAAAAGTCATATACAAATTTAATAAAAGTTACATATTACAAATGTATAATGTAAAACAAGAAAAAAATAAATGTTACATCCTCTTGAGTAAAAGGCGACATATCCGGTTTCACATAGTGCGAGAAATTATGAATTACATAATAAATGAAACGATAAAAGCTGTCACTATGTTTGAGAGATCTCGCGACTTAGATCCGAAACGTCAAATAATGATACAGCAGTTAAACGGATTGGAAGAGATAGATCCGGCAGGGTTCTTACCACCGGAAAAGATATCCGAACACCTAGTTACAGAAGATCCATCGATGATCAATGACGAACACGAATACGAGCAGTTTCCCGTGTCAACCGAAGACGGAATGCCGGAAGATCGCGAGAGGATCCAGCAGCACGAAAAGATAATCTATTGGTTACCGCGGGATATATGCCTGGTAAATTCCTTCTTTACTCTCGCAAGTAATTTCGCATAAGGGTAAATTTTTATAAGAAAAAAAAATATATAAATTTTTAATTGGAAAAGTAAATCTAAAACTTGGAGTAAAGTTTAAGTTGCGAAAAGCGAATTTGAGTTGGGGACGCAAGTTTAATTGGAAAAGCAGATGTGATCGGCGATATATAAACGTATACGAGTTATATAAATACACTTTTGCGATAATTTTGACTTCTTGAGTTGAGTTTGTTAGATTCCACTTAAACTAATAAGATACGTCTTATATATTCTTTTTCAGACGGTTCTGTCCACGTGTCTGCCGTGGCTTGCATCACAAATGGATCTTTTTCAAACCACTCTGAGCCTTCGCGAAGGAATAGTTCGTGTGTACGATGATTTAAGAGACGAAGAGCTAAATGATGAGAAAGATCTTGTTTTAGCACATCGTCTAGTGAACCACATTTTCATCCGCGAATTACTTCGCGCTTCTAGCAAATTTACTTCGAAAAACATGGCAGATCTGCTCCGCAATATTTTAAAAAGTCGAGTCGAGAAAGTAGTGTAAGAAAGTTCATTTTTAAAAATACATAGAATAAAATATTGATGAAAAATAAATATATAAGTATGTAATATACATAATTGTCCTTTATAAATAATATTTAATATAAATCGGCTCGATATTTGGAACAAATATTTTCCGCTCCGAAATTTGCGTCAGAGATTACAGAGCACCTAAGGCGATCATAATTCATAAGTATTCGGATTGCATGTTCCCATCGAGAACAATGCTTTCCTATCTGAAGAGGGTGAAAGCATCCCCGGTGAGAACGAGCTTATCATGAATCGAGCCCTTCCTGCCTCGCGAGGAATTCGTAGTCATCGCCAGATGTCACCACACGGCCGACACGCTTGTCGGACGGGCAGCGGACGAGCTCCGCCAATCAGGGCGCTGTATTTCCACCGGTGCCGCGGCGGACGCTGGCGCTTGCTCGCGGCCGCGCCGCGACAGTCTCACGACGAGATGTCCTCCGCGGCGGAGATTATCGGAGCAGCTCCGCGTCCCCCTCGCCCTGCGACAAGCGATCGTCGTCGTCGTTGTCGTCTGGCGAGCGACGTTACCCGCTCATCGCCGTCGGCACGCCCGCCGCGACCCCCGCGATTCGTCGACGAACCGCTGGCCGAGTCGACAATTCGATAAGAACGAAAGCGAGAAGGGAAGAAAGAAAGGGAGGCGGGAGGGGAGGGGAGAAAGACACACCAAACGCGAGAGCTCGGGAGCGGCGCGCCCGAATTAACGCGGCCTCGGCCGTCGTTGCGACAGGGCCGGCTGTTGGAAGCTGCACGAACGGACACGACGCGACCCGATCCGACGCGACGCGATCACGTGGCCGTCCGTCCGTCCCTCCGACCGACCGTGTTTACTTTCGTGCATTCATTCGCTCGTTCGTTCGTTCGTTCGTTCGATCCCGTGTGCGCCGAATTGACGAGGCAGTGCGACGCGACGTCGGCGCGTTCATCTCGCGTATTCGGGATGTGACACGCCGCGAATGTGCCTCACGTCTCGCACCCGTGAAACCCGGATGCTGCGTGTCTACGCCGAGGAGGCGGGCAGACAACGACGTGGTCATCGACGACGGTCGACTGTAACAGAGGTGAGCATCACAGTGTTGTGTGTCAATATACAGTGTTGTTTATCTCTCGCGGTAAATTACGTCAAGCTCACGTGACAGCTGATGACGTGAGATTTACCGCAGCCGAGGGAGAAAGAGAAAGAGTGAGAGAAATCGAGGTCTTTTTGTTCGAGTGAAATGTTAAGTATATTACTATCAGCTTTACCTTAAACCATGTGCAATTCGCAAACCGCAAGATAAAAGTCTAATTATACTATGCTATATTTAATTTTGACTTACGTATGTACTCCGATAATATGCCTGATAATTATAATTATGATAATCTTTATGTGTTGAAAGTATCCTATGAATCACACGACGCGTACATACGTCGAATTTTATTATAAAAATTCTCATTCGAATAATAATTTTTGATCTAATAATTTTTGATTATTAAATTAATCCGAATATTAAATTAATCGCAGTATTCATGTTTGAACGGAAAAACGATAAAAGAGAGGAGAACGAAATATAGGATCACGATAAGAATAATAATATCTCAATTATCTTATTTTTGGCATATTTTTTTATCAGCCAAGTTTAGTTTGCGTGCGCAATGATAGGCAATTGAGGTCCCCTCTGCCCTCTCCTCTCTCTCTCGCTTTCTCTCCGTCTTTATTTCACGAAGATTTTAAAATAGTATTAAACGCTCGCGTGCACTCTTACTCAACGTGTAACGTGTTGTTTCCCGGATTATGATACTACATGAAAGTTAATGCGCCGAAATTATACGATTCATTTCGCTTAGCGGAACGCACATGCGAAGCCCGCGCATTTTGCATTTAATGCGCAGCGCGGGTCAAATGAGATTGTAGGAATAAGTTTGCGAGAATACGCTGCAATTCGTCGCTTATTAAATCCACGAAGTACCGTTCCGAAATTTCGTGTAATTTGGCACGTTTTCGCCCGTGCAAATGTGCCGGACACGATTACTTTTCCCACGTCGAATTCAAACTTTGAACATTCAACGCGAACGCGGAAAGTCATAACATTGTATTCTCAATGGAGTGCATTTTGTAATCTGTTAATTTCGAATTTGCACGGTTGACTTTAACGAGCACCGAGCTCCCCATTGTAAAGTTAATATTATAATAACTGTGTATTAATACTATGACAATAGTTATTTTGTACCTAATCGTATATAAATTGAATTTGCCGCTTAATTAGAAATTACAAATAACAATTTACGCTTTATAGAAGGCATTATCATCATTTTAATTCAAATTAAATGTAGAAAGATAGTTGAAAATTATTTCTCTTTAAAAATATTGTTCGCTTCTTAGAATATTCTTTAAATTTTTTTCTTAAATTTTGGAACCAAATTACCGGTTGAAAGTTTGTATATTAGATTTCTATATAAAACATAACATTTTTTAAGAAAAAGTAACTTCAATATAAAATTGTAGATTAATATAATAAAAAAAGAATATCTAGAATACCATAAATTTAATTATGATCCACTCTACATAACAAACTCTCATAACAAAAGAAGATCGTCGTAGCAAAAAAGAGACTTGACGAAGTCAAATGACTCTTAATGAAAGCGGCATTCAAATTTTTATTAAGTAACTCTTCTATCGGCCGTATAGAGACTGAAATTCTCGTGGCTATCGGTTTTTAATCTTTTTGTTGAACTTAAATTGACAGTTGAAAGAGAGGTCCTATATCGATTCCTATTTAGATGGAAGATTGGAACAGAAAATTATCATCGTTTCAAGAAAAAGCTATTCGTAGTGAAATTAATATGTAATATGGAATATCTAAAAGTCTGAATTTAATTGCGAATCTGAAAGAAAATTGCGGCCATAAATGAAAAATTTACAGAGTCAAATTTTTTCTGATTTCTGATGACAGCGGCGTTCGAATTTTTCAATAGTCGTTTAATGGTCGAAATTTTTAATAGTCGATGCGCCCGTCTATCGGCTATAAAGTCTGAAATTCGAAACGAAATCGCCGTGGCGTCATTGTGCAAAAACAATCCAGAAACCCCTATGTGCACGATGACCTAAATGCACGGCACTTTTAATCCGCGGAGACGAAGCGTGCGCATCGATAAAGGTCGACAGAGCGAGAACGAATAGCGCATTCTGCGCCTTTTTTCTTCCCTGCAAAAAAATACTTCTCGCTTCATCGCTGAAAGACTGTACTCTTATCCTCCTTTTTCATCCCGCGAGTAGTTTCCCTTGTTTATTCGCGAGGGAGACTCGAAATAACATCCGACAGCGTGCGAAACTTTGCTTCTCGAGATGCACCTTCAACGAGAAAGTTTAAGGATACAAACTTCTACGAGATAAATATGTCCCTCTTAAATAAAAAAATAGATTTTCCAGCTTTGAAAAGCCTTGAAATTATAACTATAAATATGACACATTTTTTTTCTTGCGACTAAAACTCTTTTTTTTTTTATTTTTTACATATTTGGAATTTATTAAAAGATTGATTTCAATCTGTGATACAATCCCAGTTTTACTGTATACATTTAATACGTTTTTTTTCTTTTCCTTTCACAATTTGGATAATTTGGCATAAACAACGATTCGACCGATAGATACGTGATTAGAGATAATCATGTACGTTAGATTGGATACATTCGACCATAACAATGCATAAAGCGTGAAAATAACCGACATGTACGTCTATGCGTACGCGCGTATTAAACATAGTGCCCTGTGCGCTTTTTCCGTATTTGCATAAAGCGAGATGAGTTCTCTGTACGCTAATGGGGCGCTGTAAATCTCGACGATTATAACATCAGGGTGCTGCGAGCGTTCCCATTGTGCGCGCCGATTCGATACATTACGACAAATTCGATTCTCTATCGAGCCGGCTGGTGGCAATTCGAATTTTGCAGCAAATTGTACTTTATTATGCCACGAGTCATTAGTTACTACGTTCTACCTGCAACGGTAATTCATGCCGGCATTCGATCATGGCTTTCGCGCGGTGGATAAACAGTGAATTTCGATAAATTTTGAAATGTGAATACTGTCGCGTAAACAGAATGCATACTTTGTAATTTTATGTTTTTTTTTTTTATAAATTTTCTATCAATGGTCATGCCGATAATACCCGGCAAATTGAATACATTTAATTGAAATTGTTTCAATAATTGCACTTTTTTCAGATTTATTCGACGAGAAGCTAATTTAGTAATCTGTTATTACGATAAAATTCGATATTTATAAAGGCAAAAATAACGAAAGATAAAAAAGAAGGGGATTTCGCGCTTGTATAATTTTTTACCCGCGTTTATTCTTCTCATCTCGATATGTGGTGCTCCGTCCGAAATTTCAGTTTCACGTTGTTGATTGTTTTTACAAATAACGCTAATGGAATTTAGCGATTCGCTGGCGTTTCATTAAATCTGTTTTGCACGCCGACCTCTCCTGGATGAGCGAAGTGCTATACATTCCGTTTGTGATATAATTAAATAATTGTCGGATTGTTCTGCACGATCGTTAAGCGTCTACTGCCGGAACGACGAGCGATCGCTTTCGTGACAAGTGACCGTGACAACGTCACGGTTATGGTCGTTGCTCGTTCGTTATGTATTGAAATCGCCGATAAGATTGTCGAAATGACGATCGTTATCGGGCACGTGGCTGTGATTAATCGTTTGTCTTTCATGGTTCGATTATACATTGAAACTGTCCGTCCGAATCGAATGTCGCGTTTGGTACATGCATGTCCGAGCGCCTCCCAATGTTCCCCATCGATCCCTTCGATTATTCCGGAATATAATACAATTATGGCCGGTTCTCGATCCCGATATGACTACGGATATCGCGCGATACTCGTTTCATTAATACGTTGCGAGTCATTGTGCGACTAGTAATCACATCTGTGTGTAAGCCGGTTCAGATGACCACACATTCTCTCTCTCTCTCTCTCTCTCTCTCTCTCTCTCTCTGTTTCCCCTTTTC